AAGCTGCAAAGGAAAGGAAACCAACATGAAATGAAGGGAATTCACAAAGTTAGTGGAAAAATGGAATAAAAAAATATGAGTTTATTTCAGTGCGAGAATATTGTGAAATCCATGCAGTTTTTTTCACTATACACATTTCCTATGAGCTTTTTGAAGTCTCCTCATGCATCTCCTTCGTACTCGGCTTTCTCCATAGCTATTTGTATATGATTGTTTCTCTTAATCTTAATAATTACCCCGTGTAGTAGCCATTGATTTTCCAGAAGAGAGAATTGGGATTTAGAGAGCTTCTCCAATTGGTTACCGCTGGGAGCTGAGATTTAAACTCAATATGCCTGACTCCAGGTCTTTGTGCTGAGTTACCAGGATAAGATCTTGGAGATTTAGTCTGCTCTCCTCATCTTATACTAAATGAACCCATCCTATACGTGGTTGCTATTAGTCAAAAAGGCCTTCCTAGTCAGAGTACATTAATCTAATGGACTGCTGTCCACACAAAGTGTAGAAAGGTTAAGGAACTTTCTTAAAGTCATCGATCAAGGAGATGGCACCATCTAGTTGTCAACGTGGGGTTGTCTGAGATCCTGAAGTCTGTTGTTCTACTCTGTCATCTAATTTTTTTCTCTTACTTGTAGAAACTAAAGTTGATGCATATGATATGACTTTCTAAGTTCCTCGTTCTCTTGTGGCAGAATGGAGGCTAGACTCTGGTCAAGCCAGTTGTTTGATCTTTCTTGGACATCACGTGTGAGAAATGAAGTAATATGAAAAACCAATCAAAATAGACTAGAGCACTTTATGGCCCCTGATTCCACGGCACCTCGGAGCTCAGCCACCTGCATATTCATGAATTTGGGTGCGGAAGTGTCTTTATGAATTATGGCTATTAAAAGTACATGCATCCACATATTATCTTTATATATATGAACACTGAATGCAATAAGTCAGATAGGAGGTTCCTGATAAATTCACCTTACAAATGATTTAAAACTTTAATTGCAGTTAAACTAGAGTTATTCATTGCTGGAGATTATTTTTAAAATTTCTGTATTGGGAAGAGGAACATGTCAAGATGTGTTGAAAATAGTTCTTTTCCCAGAAATGCTGGAAGCATCTCTAAGTTTAAGCAAGTTTCCAGTGCAATGTGTACAATACATCACCCCTCTCTGTTTCAGAATTGTCAGGAACAGAATGGAAACTGTAGCACTTACCAAGAATCACGTATTGAAATAAAAATAATGCGACTTTTAATGGTCATACTACTTCTATCAATCATAGCTGTTTTCTGGAAGAAAAGATAAATTGTTATCCTCACTGAATAAACAACAATGGCTGTAGAACTATGGGGTGTCATTTGGGCATTTCATCTTGCGTTCCTTTAGCTTTCATTGGGTGCTTGCAGAGCAAAAGGAGGAATGGTGGATCGCGTGATGAGAAGAGGAGAAATGTTGTTCTTGCCCTCCCAGGGATCAAGAGCTATTCCAAATCAAGTAGAGCATGCTCCTTTCTTCCTCTGTGTTCTGCCGTACACCCAGTCTGTGTTATGCTTTGATCCTGCAATGGTGAAGAGAAATAGGCACCTTTGTATGGTGGACGACTCAAACTCATGCAGTGCATCTTTGCCTATCATGGGTACCCAGACTGTGGCTGGTCCTGGAGCTTTCAAATACCTCACCTCTCATTGTTACACACACTGATGGAAGTCATCAAACATTTTTAAAAATAAATTATAGATATTAAAAAAGCCCACTGTGCGCACAGGGGGTGGAAAACTGCTTGTCAGAGAAAATCCCAGCCCAATGCATGTGTTTTATCTGTGGTGGGGGTGAGGTGTGACGGAGCAAGTACACATTGCCAAAGATTTACTGTGTCACACTGAATGTAATCCGTTCGTTTCAGACCCTCTGACCGCCAAGCTCCACATGGATCAGACAGCAAGACAAATTCTACTTGTTGGGAACAGGGAGATCCTTCCTGTCTTTTCTGCATGAACATATCTTGGTTTTGCTAGCCTTGCTTGTTTTATCTGGTTTTTGTCCCTGTGAGGAACAAAAGAGGGTCTGAATGGAGTGGTTATAAATAAGGAGATGGCACCCCTCAAGCCATGCATTGGCACTCACATTCATAGAAGTGGGCTCCCTCCTGCCAAACCTCAAACCAAGATTTCCCCAGGGAGGTGGAGAATGTTTTTGGCTTGTTTCAAAGTGTGTTTATTTGCCATGAGAAAAGCACAGTCTTATTACTTGTTTACCCTTATTTTTTGCCCATCCTCCTCCCAGCTAATTACCTAATGCTGTTCTAAAGGAGTTTTGTCTGTTTTCTGAATCAAACCCTACCCTTAAAAGAGGAGGATATGCTGGGACCAGCAGGTGGCATGGAGGTCAAGGTGGTTGGGTCTTACATGGTCAACTCAGTGGTGAGGTGTTGGTGAAAAATGTGCGTGTGTGTGTGTGTGTGTGTGTGTGTGTGTGTGTGTGTGTGTGTGTGTGTGTGTCTGTCTGTCTGTCTTGAATCTTGAGAGGAAAGTGAAGGAGATGGGATTGGAATTGTGGTGTGGCCATCACCCTAGTGGATGATTTCTCACTTTTTCTCTGTCTCTCCAGCTAGTGCTCATGCCCTATGGCAAAAATCTAAAAAGAAAAATAAGATGAAGGTATGCTATTGCTATTGTTGTTCTAAAGAGAATTTTTGTTGCAGACTCTGAAATGATAAAAATATTGTTTAGTACTCATCATTGCACCTAAGGCCCCCAGGATGCTTTGGAGTGAGAATGGGACTTACAATGTTTAAGATCCATAAATAGATTTTAAAACCCCAATTTCTTCATAATCATTTCATACATAATATATTTTGTATGGTGAATGAAAAGTTGATGGGTGTTTTGGGGATAGGGGAAAGAGGTGGCTCAGTGACACTGACAGGTGGACAGGCTAACAGGGGGCCAGAGGGCATAAGAAATGACCAAAGAGCCATTTCTCAGAAATTGGCTTCAATTTCTTCCTTTTTTTTATTATCATCATAATCTTCTTTATATTACATTGGATTACATATAACTTTACAGTGTATTACATTGCTTTTTTTTTCTTTCTTTTTTTTAATATTGCTTTTTCAAAAGGGAATGCCATGCATGTCAGTCAATACAGAGACATTAATCTCCCTGCTTCAATATTCAATATATTTTCTATGATTTTCCCAATTATTATTATTATTATTTTTTATTTTTTTTAAAACAGTCAATCACTATTTCTCATTTTGCTTGTAAAAAGACTTTACCCATCATGAAATACTTCTCAGACCAATCCAGTTGAGAATACTATACATGTCATCAACAGGTAATAAGCCATATCTGTTTCTCACTAACGTCCTGCCTCTCTATTGTTCTCTTGCTATCTTTCTCTATCCTCTTCTCTTCATCTCCCCCATTCCACACTGTCCTATTCTCGTTAAGTACCTTCACTGCTTTTATGTCTTCCAATTTTTTGCACTCTATCATAGAGTGCGGATAGTCGGTATATATTGAGTGGATACATACAATATCTTTCTTTCATAGCCTGGCTTACTTCACTCAGCAATAGATCCTCCATATCTGACCACTTTACAAATTGGTTTCAATTTCTGAGACTCTGCAGAAATCCATTCTGCTCCAGTCAGGGGGTAGTTTAGATTAAGAGGCTTGTTTTATGTGACATAAATCGTACTTTTAAGAACAAGTAATTTATTGTTTAATTGAAGAGGAAAAGCTTCCTATGCCACTTTGTTTTAGTGTACACATAAAGTTAAAGAGATCACATCATTTTGCTCCACTGTTTACATCAGGCTATCACTAAATATTTTATTGTGTCTTTTAAGGCTGTAGAATTTATTTACTCAAATAAAACATTTGAAAATGTTGTATTTTACTGGTTTTACTCTTCAGATTTATAGTTTTGTATGGATATAGGGTCTCTGTCATCTTATTTTCAAAAATCTTTCTTTGTTAAAATATCTTAAGTTTACAAAGAAACCTTCTGGCAAATATCCATGTACATTTCTTACCTGAAGTTTGAAATAGTGAAAAATATGAAACAGGTTATTTTGTCATCATTAAAAGCATTGGTCCTGAATGATGCGATTAAGAAAGAATAATTTTATAGGCCAGTGATGCTTGATGACATGTATTTCTTTTTTTTTTTTAATGCTAAGGGAAATAATGTTGATTTTCAGAGATGTAACTACACAATGTGACCATAAAAATTGAGCTATTCATGTCTCTGCACATTTATTTCTTCTAGAGATAAAGTTAATTGAAGCTCTTGTGTAAGTTTACATTGGACAATGAATATATAATGAGAATGTTTCTTGAAATTGGTGTCTTAGAAATTGCAGAATGGAGGGTAAATCACTTTTCGGTCCTCTTTTACTTTTCTCTTCACTTCAAAAACTTTTCTCTTGGGAAAAAAAAATGGCTTTTGTGCATAAACTATAGAGACTCCTAAGTGCCTACAATATGTAAGGTGAAGTCTGGCTACAACAAACACTGAGGGTCACCACGAGGAGAAGAATGCGATCTAAAGCACCGAATCAATTCTGCACACTTGGTGGCATTATATGGGGTTGATGTTGGGAAAGTCAGCGTGCACTTTTGCAGTGAAAAACATAGAAAAATGCATCCTGACTTTCCTGATGACCAAATAGTATATAATTTTACAGATTGAAGCTTGAATGAATAACTTTAGTAAGGACCAGAGCCACTGTTTGCTTCCTATATGTCAGTCATTACAGTCATTATCATTCTTTGGAGCATGTCAACCCTTGGATTAGGGAGAAATGACTCAATTGCATGTAACATGAAGGAACTGGTGGTGAGATGCATATTGATAAGACTCTTTGTTCTTCATTCTTGATATGTTTGCTAAAATCTTCATAATAACATATTTATGCGATTTTATTTCCCTAGTGACATCACCAATACGAAGAAAAAAATATGTGTTTATTTAACACCTGTATTTTCTTTCTTTTAGGGCGTGTTGGAGAGTTTCCTGGGCACTGCTGTCTCTGGAGCTGTCTTTTGCCTTTTTGCTGGTCAACCTCTCACTATCTTGAGCAGTACAGGACCCGTCTTAGTTTTTGAGAGACTTCTATTTAATTTTAGCAAGTATGTGTATACATTTATAAGTATAAATTAGAATTTTTTGCTAGAGCATTCATAGTCTAACTAGAGTACAGAATATGGGGCAACTTCAAAAAGTTTGTGAAAAATGGAATAAAAATATGAGTTTATTTTGGTGCAATTTTTGAAACTTGTACATAGTTTATTCATAATAGAAAATTCTCATTTAGTTTTTTAAAGACACCTGGTAGGTATCACGTAAATAGAAGAATCAGTAGGAATACTGAAATGTTAAGATTTGGAGCTTCAGCAGGCCTTAGGCATTGGGTAGTCCAAAACTCCTTTGACCTTTGATTGTACTGAGGCCCATATGTTGTATTTTCTTTCTTCCCCCTAGTTGTCCTGCTTTGTGCTTTATGGGGCTGACCCTTAAGGACTACAACTCCCAGGATCCTTTGTTCTCAGACTTCCTGTTGGGTTTGGCTAGTGGGAAGCCCCAGCTGGACAAAATCAGAGAGAGGCCCAAGGATGTCCACTTCTGTGGTGGAGGCCCCACCTCACTGTTCTGTGGCACAGCAGTCTGGCAGACACTTATCTCTTACGATTTAGCCCCACTTCAGTGGCTCCACTAACCTGACTCTGGCCTTTGCCAGGTTCTGGTAACTGTCTCCCTTTCTTGGCCTTTTCAAGTATGGAGTTAGTAATGGCTTCCTGCTCTTGCCCATTCCTGAGCACTTTGCCATTCTCTGTTACACTCCTGGAGATAGCCCATTTATTAAGTTTTCCTTAGAGTTCCATTTGAGATTGCCTTTTGTTTCTGACTGATACATTAGAGAAATTAAATGGCTTAATTCCATCTACATGGTAACCAGTTCTTTCTAATGACAGATATTGGTGCTTTCTACTTGGTCCGTTGCTTCTAACCCCAGGTTCAGTGTTCTTAACCTAAAGGTCATTTTCTGGACTCAGCTGAATAATTATTAACGTGTGTGGAGTGCTGAACATGCACCAAGTATTGTCCTAAGTATTTCGGATGTATGAACTCATTTGATTATTATAGCAATTCTGTGAGGTAGGGACCCTATCTCGTTTTACAGATGAAAAGCAGTGTGGAGTAAATGAGTTAATTGCCAAACATTACATCACTAGTCGTTGGTAGGGCTGGTGTTTGACGTCCTGTATTCTTACTCCACTGCCTATGCCACTGAAGGAATCAGTAGACACTGTTGATGCACATGACAGTTATGATACCAATATTTTCTTTTAGAAATTGATGGATAAGTTTTAAAAGGGGGAAATTCAGTTAGGAGGATTATCCAATGGCCACGGTAGCACACAAATAGATTCAAAATCAAATCTTTGTAATGTATTCAATACCTCTAAGAGAGAATGGTGTTTTCTAGCAGATTACGGTCCTTAGACAGATTGCAGAATTTCATATGCTTGCTAGCACTCCTTGTTGGTACTTCATATTTTTTATATTTTGATGAATTTTTAGTTTTATAATTTTGGAATTGTCCTTACATAATATGTTGTAGACTTAAGGACTTATATATCGCCTTTGAAACTGTGTGTGTGTGTGTGTGTGTGTGTGTGTCATTAAAAATGATCACAGGATAGAGAGAGGAATGAGGAGTTAAAAGCAGGTTTCTGAAAACTGCCTTGAAAACATCAGCAAGCGTCCTCTGAGAATATGAAGTTCCAAATTTTAAATAACATTGTGAGTTTTCTGTAGATCATTACTACAAATCCTTCTCCATCATAATTCTCAGAAGAACATTGGAAGGAATCTTACTCATGTCAGTTTATAGCAAGAGTCAAACAGTTTTTATATGTTTAAGAAAACATTGTGTGAGACAAGAAAGCCTTTGTGGAAAGATTAAACAAGCATGTACTATAAACAGGAACAAACACGCACAACCTTTGCAGAAAGATTTATTGGATGAAATGTGATCAGAGCCTTAATCTACAGAAAATGTTTGCATTGCAGTTTGTTTCAAATAATTGTGGCATAGATTATTTCTTTTGACTGAACAAGTTCCGCTCTCACTTCCCCTTCTGTTTCATCATAATTGGTAATGTAGCATAGTCCCATGTAATAAATTTGAAAACAGTTGTAAAGCAATGAGAAACATTTGAAAAACCATGTTTTAAATCTGTCACTGAATAAAATGTGGCAGACATTATTTTATTCATAATGCTGTAGCATTTGCTTATCTTATTGTAGCAAGGCTAATATTTTGTCTAGGTACAGATTGTTTGTGCAGATCACTAGGTCCCAAAGGGAGTTTCATTAGTTACTAGTCCCATTAGATGTTCCACGGGGTTGAGGGGGATGGGGGGGACCTTCTGTGATCCCAGTAGGTCTGGGAAGTGCGGTGTATTATATCTTCCTCTTGACAAATCTCTCTGCATTTTAGCATACCAAGAATCTGAGAGATTTTTGAGTTAAAAAAAATATATATATATATTCTTTTTTTACTTTGTCTTGCCCAGATTTTCCCCAACATATTTTACCATTTTGGGAGAAATAGGTAAGTCTTATTTTGTAGATTCAGTATAGGCACTACTGATGTTCAACTTGTTATAAGTTTATCACCTCTTTTTTCATTTTTTTTCTTGCTGCTTTAAACATACCATTCTCATGATAAAATTTCATTGGGTCTATTGATTTTACTCAGATCATTCCTCTTGAACTACACTGAGAGTGTTTTAGTCTTTTAAGATGGCTAATTTGGTATATTTTTTAGGTTCCAAGACTTAAGTTTATCCATACATTTTTTTCCCTTTGTACCCCAAACATTAGCTAATGTTTCTTATCTTGTCTTGAAAATATCGTTTCTATGAACAACTACTAGCATTCTTGGAATTAAGATTATTCTTACTTGGATTTTGTTACAGAAGGTAATTGTTTAAAATTTTATTTATTTACTCCAGAGGGTACCTAAGAGAGAGAGAGAGAGAGAGAGAGAGAGAGAGAGAGAGAGAGAACCCCACAGTGGAGCCTGGTCATACTGCAATCATTTTTCCTCCATTTCTCCATGTCAGCAGGCTTCTGAACACATGTACACATGTTGAGCATGTTTTTCAAGTCTCTGACACTGGGATTTGAACCATGGTAAAACATATGGGATCCAGTTCCCTCTGTATACTGCTTAATAGCTGCACTACAAGGGCAGCCTTACAACTTTTATTTTTAAGAAAGTCTGTTGGTTCAGATGTAATGAAACCTTGTTTCTTAGCTCTCATTACGATGCTGATTCATTGTATGATAATATAAATTATCTCTAGTTCTTAGAACTCTTTTTTTCTATAGTGTACTTGGCTCACACTGACATTCACAGGATTAAACATTGGAGTTCCAAACATAAAGGGAACTGGAAAGGAATGTAAAAGCTGTCTCCAGAAAGATTCCAGAAAATCTATAGAAAGTAACTTTCAACTCCAGTGGTAATAATCTTCTGTTTTTGAAGTGTATTCCAATTTTTGTGATTTGGTGAGAAGAGGGAAACAAAGAACAATAACTTGAATGCCTACTCTCTCCAGCTAAATACCAATTGGATAGGGAAACCATGGTATAATATTTTTTTAAAGGACCAGTCCAAGAATCAAGAAGTTTCCTTTCTGGTCCAGCTATGCTATTAAAATTTGGTGTTAGATAAGTGACTTAGCTTCCATTGGCCTTGGTGTCCTCATTTATAAAATGAGGCATATTTGACAAATTGTTATCTGTACTAGTTAGGGTTATCCAGAGAGACAATCAATAAGGGGTGTGTGTATGTGTGTGTTTGTTAAAAGATTTATTACAGGGTCCAGCAGTTAGCGTAATGGCTCTGTCGCTGAACTCGCACATAGTCGACCGCGGTTTGAGTCCCAGACCCGGCAGCTTAAACTCATGCCGGGCGCGCGTGTGTGTGTGCCCAAGATCCCGAGAAGAGAATGGAGGAGAACAGGTTGTGGCGTAGCCATCCCCTCTTGGGGGGTGATTTCTCGCTTTCTGTCTCTCTTTCTCTCTCTGTCTGTCTGGCGAGCGCATGTGCCCTATAGCAAAAACCTCTCCAAAAAAAAGAAAAAAAAAAGATTTATTACAAAGAATTGGCTCACATAATTATAGAGGGTGGCAAGTCCAAAATTTGCAGGACAGTCTGAAGACCCAGGAGAGCCAGTGTCCCAGTTCTGTTCTAAAGGCTGTCTGTTGTAGAACCAGGAAAAACAAAGATTGCAGATGAAGTTCAAAAGAAAAGATATTGAATTGAATGATGAAGTGGGGAGATTAATGTCTCTGTTTTGACTGACATGCATAGCATTCCCTTTTGAAAAAGCAATGTAATACTCTGTAAAGTTATATGTAATCCAATGTAATATAAAGAAGATTATGATGATAATAAAAATAAAAATAAAAAATAAAGAAAAAGCAGTCTGCTGGAGAATTCTCCTTTGTCCTAGGGAAGGCCAATCTTTTTTGTTCTATTCAAGCTTTGTACTGATTAGATGAGGCCCAAGCATATTATGAAAGATAATCTTCTTTACGCAAATCATACCAGTTTAAATGTTAATCTCTCCAAAAACACTCTTACGGAAGCACCCAGAAGAGTGTTTAACTAAATACCTGGACACCCAATAGTTCAGTCAAGCTGACATGAAATTAATTATCACTGTATCTAAGGGACTTCTACCTTTATTATTCTATCATTTTGGGGGCCAGCAGATGGTATAATGGTTACATTGTTGTACTCCCATCTAGTCAATCCTGGTTCGAGTCTTGGACCCAGTGGCTTGAAACTCACACTAGGCAAGTGTGTGCAAGTGCCCAAAATCCTGAGAGGAGACCAGAGGAGAAGGGATTGTGGCATGGCCATTCCTCCTGGGGCTGATTTCTCACTTTGTCCCCCATTGTCTCTCTTTGGTGAGCACACACACCTTATGGCAAAAACCTTAAAAAAATTGTAAAGCCCTCTCCACATAAATTTAAACGAATTGGTGTGAAATGGTAAATGTTAACACTTGGTAAATCTTTGCATAGTGGTCGGTCTTGAACTAATTCACTGGGAAGGGCATCAAAAGCTAACAGCCCTCCTTAAATGGAGGAGCCTATTCTGAGTCTGCTCTGGGATAAGCACAGACAGAAAGAAGATGGGTGTAAGATACTTCCCGCCAATTTCAGCATGAAGATGCAATATTTGTGGGCAAGCTTAGCTTTATGGGAATTGCAGCAGCATGGCAAGACAGCCTTTCTTCATCCGATGACATCCCACATTTCTAAGCTCCTATCCCCTTGCTGGTAGCACTCTGCCTAAAAAAGAAAGTAAGCTTCCCATATCTCTCATGCCATTCTCCTTGATAACTTCTCTTTCCTCTCCTGGCTGGATTCTCCCTGGTCTGTCTGGGAAGTTCCCACTTAAACGGCATGAGTTTTTTCTGTAACACTTTTTACCCAGCTAGGATCAGTTACTGCTTCCTCTGCCACACCCTCACTTAGTATTCTATAGCTCAGTGATTTTTATCACTTTGTTTACTTGGTAGACTGTGATGACTTGGGGACCGAGAAATACTGATCTTAGTATCTTCATTATCCAGTAAAGCTCACATTTATTAAAAGCCTACTGGGCACCGCTGTTAATGCTTTCAAATGACTTACAAACTTCGTCATGTCAGGGACTGTATTTTTTTGAATGAGAAAATTAGAAAGTGGAGCCAGCAGTAGCATAGTGGTTAAGGCATTGTACTCCCATGTGGCTGACCACAGTTCAAGTCCCAAGCCTGGAGGCTTGAAAATCATGCCAAGCGTGTGTGCGTACTTGCCCCAAATCTGAGGAGGTGAATGGAGGAAGAGGAAGAATTGTGGCATGTCCATACCCCTGAGGGGGTGATTTACCACTTTCCCTCTCACTATCTTTTTTTCTCTCTCTCTGGTGAGTGCATGTGCCCTATAGCAAATGTCTTAAAAAAAAAAAAAGCTTTTAGAAATAAAGATTTGTTTTGTTAAAAAAAGAAAGTTAGTTATTCACATACAAATGACTGCTTTTGATATGCTTTTCTCAAAGTTATGAATTATTTCTTTGTGGTAGCATATAATATCATTAGACCCAGTTCTTAAGCTTAATACTTTATGGGTAAAAATCAAGATTTATTTCTAGTGGTTAAAGGTAATCTTTTTAGTAATCATTCTATAGGCATTTGGTCGTTTTATGTTATTCTTTATGTTTCATGGAGGGAGACTAAATACCTTCTTTCTTCTTTCCAGGGACCATAATTTTGACTATTTGGAATTTCGCCTTTGGATTGGCCTGTGGTCAGCGTTCCTGTGTCTCATTCTGGTAGCCACTGATGCCAGCTTCTTGGTTCAGTACTTCACTCGTTTCACAGAAGAGGGCTTCTCGTCTCTCATTAGCTTCATCTTTATCTATGATGCTTTCAAGAAGATGATCAAGCTAGCAAGTTACTACCCCATCAACTCTGACTTCAAAGTGGGCTACAACACTCATTTTTCCTGTGTCTGTGTACCACCCGACCCAGGTAAGGACAAAAGCTTTGTGTTTGTCCTTGCCCTGTTTTTGGAGTAAAATGTACCCTGCTTGCCAGTTTTCAACAAAATAGCATGATCTTCCAGAAGAGGTCTTTTATTTTATACAAGAAACTATTCTACTAAATTTAAAATGTTATTGCCTCGCATGCCTTTGCCATGTGATTCGATCAGGAAGAAAACCAGGAACACTGGAAGGTGAACATAACTAGCTTAAAGTTTTGAAATTAATTCACACTACAGTATTTGGAAGGAATTAATGTGTATATTATTCTTCATTTTATATGATAAGTGAGAAAACCCAGGTACATATTTTGAACAGATATAAGAACCAGAAAACCCAGGTACATATATATATATTTTTTTTTTTTTGGAGGGATTTTCACTATAGGGTGCGTGCGCTCACCAGACAGAGAGAGAAAGAGAGACAAAAAGCGAGAAATCACCCCCCAGGGGGGATGGCCACGCCACAATCCCTTCTCCTCCATTCTCCTCTCGGGATCTTGGGCACGTACACACATGCGCCCAGTGTGAGTTTTTTAAGCCACCGGGTCCGGGATGCGAACCGCGGTTGACTACGTGGGAGTCCAGCGACCTAGCCATTACGCTAACTGCTGGTTCCCATCCCAGGTACATATTTTTTAACAGATAAAAGAACCAAATAAACCTGAGCCTGTAAACTTTTACACCGTATTTTTTTCTTCCTCATTTTATTATTATTTTTAAAAATGTGCCCACTTACTCTTTTATGAGAGATAAAGGCAGAATGAGCCAGATAGACAAAGAGACAGCATCCCCAGAGTTTTTACCCCACAATTGACCCTCAACCTCAGTCAATCCGGATCACGACATGTGTGTGCATGCCTGATCAGCAGAAGAAGGCCTGGGATGTGAACTCCAGACCTTCACATGTGGGTCAGGTTGCATTATTGCTATATCTATGGCTGGCCCCTTGTTGCTTCTCTATTGCTATGGAAATCTTTCCTTTTCTTTTTAGTAAACTCTAAATAGATTATTTTAAGATTATGGAAGAAACAAGATACTAATTTACTTTGTATATTTTGAAGCATGAAATTAAAAACAAATTCAGATTACAGTCACCTAAAGGAAGGATCTTTTAGTTACTCTCTATTAGATAATATAAACATAAGGGGGAAAAGATACAAGAGAAAGAAAGAAAAGAAGAAATGTTATGTTCTAGGAGTATATTTATATTCTAGATTTTAAGAAAGATATAACTGTAAAAGTGACTTCCAGTTACGAGTATGATTCTATGTTATCTTAGGCCTTTAATGTTTGTCTTGCCGATCATGAGTCAACATTTTAAGAAGAAAAACAAAAAAGAATGAAACAAAAACTATTAGAACTTTTCACAGAAAATAGTTCAATGTAGTTTTGGGAATTTTTCTTGGAGTAATTTATCATGAGTTTGTAGTATAGACAGCATTAGCAAAAGGGGTTTGCTTTGAGGGAATTTGCTCTAGATTTGCTCTCTTAGAATAAGGGGATGTATGGGACCAGCAGATGACATAATGGTTATATCACTGGACTCTCATATAGTAAGTAGACTGTGGTTTGAGTCCTGGACCTGGCAGCTTAAAACTCACACCAGGCGCATGTGTGTGCATGCCCAAAATGCCAAGAGGAAAATGGGGGAGAAGGAACTACCCTTGGGGTTGATTTCTTGCTTTCTGCCTCTGTCTGTCTCTCAAGCAAGTACATGTGCCCTATAGCAAAAATCTCTCACCAAAAAAAAAAAAAAAGACGTTTGTGTCAAACAAGAAAATGACAGTAGGCCTAATAATCCCAAATTATGTAATTAGTACAGGTCAGTGTCCCCTAAGATAAAAATTGATATATAATTCATGTTTTTTAATTAAGGCATGTAGCACTTGAAGTCTAACCATGTTCTAGGAGTAGGGTAATCTGGGGCATGAGTGGGGGGTACATTCATGCAATATCCATTTTTAGGTATAGATTCTAGGCAATCCATTATTTATTTATTTATTTTTTGGAGAGATTTTCACTGTAGGGTGCGTGCGCTCGCCAGACAGACAGAGAGAGACATAGAGACAGAAAGCGAGAAATCACCCCCCAGGGGGGATGGCCACGCTGCAATCCCTTCTCCTCCATTCTCCTCTTGGGATCTTGGGCACGCACGCACACGCGCCTGGCGTGAGTTTTAAGCCACTGGGTCCGGGACACGAACTGCGGTAGACTATGTGGGAGTCCAGCGACATAGCCATTACGCTAACTGCTGGTTCCTGCAATCCATTATTTTTTAATCATTTACTTATTTATTTTTACATTTTACCACAAACATATACTTTACATGACAACAAATTTTTGCTCATACTCCATAGTTCTTGACAGTTAATAAACAACTTCCAAAATTTCAAAAAACTGAATTTTAAAGATAATGTTTGGAATATTTGTTGTAATTTCATTTGCGACTATATAACAACAGAGACAGTATGGTTTTAAATATTTTTGAGAAAATATTCACATGTCAGCTACTTAAACTGTTGAAAGGCAAACATCCAGCACACAAACTCACACTTAAACCTTGTCAATTCAGCCCTGCCTACTAAGTATTCTGTGATATACCATATGATAGCAAAGATCAGTCTCTTTTTCTTCCTTCAAAGTCTTCCTCAAGATAATCCTCTGGTTGTGGCTGCTCTTTTTCAATCTCTGCTGATTACAATGTGGGGCTGGAAAAGTGCTGGTTATTTTATGGTACGAATTCTTCCATGTAACGTCTGTAATCCTCTCTGCTGGTCAGAACTGTTCATGGTGCCAGAGTATCTTTCCAAGAGCTTCTGTTGGCTTATTTGAGATCTACCTTAGTTCCATAGTTTTCTGATTTAATCTTCAGATATGACATTCTAGTCAAAACCCTGTCCAATAACTAGGATTTCCAATTTCTGATTCAAAGCAACAGGTATTATTGAACTTATACAAATAACCATTCTGCCACAAAATAAGAATACTCCCAAATATTTTCCAATTCCAGAGGGGTCAGGAAGGGAGAAAAGTTTGTCTACCTTTAAAGAAACAAACGAGAACATTTTAACAAATTGCTGAAGCTATCAACAGCTCAAAAGAAAGCAAAATCCTTAAATTGGGAAAACAAAGCATAGTAAGGAAAAAAATCACCACTGTTAAACTCAAAAGTCATAAAATTCTATTTCTCCAGTTCAGTCTTAAGTAATGAATCTCTCTTCTGTTTAATTTGCCATGTTACTGTAGTCCAATCTTTCATTTAACATTCAGTGTTATTATTGATATTTCTTGTCCCTAGTTTTAAGTTCATTATTTTCTTGGTTGCTTTTTGTTCTCTTATTTCTGTGTGTGTCTTTAGTTTTCCTGGTAAAGCACTCCTTTCAAAACTTCTTGAAGAGCTGGTCTGGTGTTGGTAAATTCTTTCAGATTTTGTTTATCTGAGAATGTTCTTATCTTTTCTTTCCATATGAAGGATAATCTTGCTGGGTATAGTATTCTTGGTTGAAACTGTTTTTCACTTAACACTTTGAATATTTTTTCTCATTCTTTCCTTGCTTGCATTGTTTCTGATGAGAAGTCTGATGTTAGCCTAATGGGATAACCTTTATAAGTAACCTGACATTTCTCTCTTGCCAATTTTAATTTTATTTTCTTTGTGTGTAGATTTTGCCAATCTGGCTATGATGTGCCTTGGAGATCTTCTTGGGTTGATTCTATGTGGGGTCCTTTGTATTTCTTGGGTTTGGATATTTGAATGCCTCTCTAGATTTGGAAACTTTTTCTTCTAGGATTTCATGGAATAGATTATCAATGCCCTTATTAGTTCCTTTACCTTCTGGGATACTGATTATCCAGATGTTTGGGAGCTTAATGGTATCTAGTATAGTATTCTTTTTTTTTTATAGTGTTCTCTTTTTTTTTTGGTTATTTTCTCAGTGTCTTGGTTGTTTTTTACGAGGTAAGAGGTTTTGCTTTCAGCATCCGAGATTTGATCTTCTGCATGGACTAATCTGTTTTTAATACTTTCTAGGGAGGTTTTGATTTCCTGTATTGCATCCTTTGTCTCTAACAGCTCCGTTTAATTCTTTTTTATAGTGTGTATTTCCTCTTTCAGATAGACCAAGAACTTCCTCACCTTCTGGAACTCATTGTCTCTTTTTTTCAGCATCTTCTAGAGTTCATTGTCTCTCAGCTCTTTGATCTTGCTAAGTTTTGTCACTATGAATATTTTGAATTCTTTATCAGACATTTCCATGAGTTCCACTGTATTGTCTGCGGATGATGAAGGATTGTTCTTTTCACTTAGGGGAGAGATATATTCTTGGTTTCTCATTTCTTGTGTCTCTGCGGTGGTTTCTGGTCATTCTGTATCAACATCTCTCCTCCACTGTGTTTTGCAACATGCTATCCACAAAAAGAGATTGAGTTCAGATTTATAAAAGAAGTTTCTTCCTTAAAGCAGGAGGTTCAACAAGTGTTGAGGGTCTCAATGACCCTAAAAGTATTCAGATACTTGGCTCCTGTGCACCTAGGCCTGACTAGACACTTAGCGTGTGGAGATTTGTCTGAGTGTTTTGGGGATCTAGAAGATGAGGTTTAGAGCTTTAGTCACCTTGGTCCCTTGGCAAGCCATTCTTTAAAAAAGTTGATTAGAAAGCCTTTTATTATGTACAGTAAAATAAATATGGTTATATTTTAGACTAGACACAAAATGCTTATGAGTGTAAAAGATAAACAAGATGCTATGAAAACTTTTTCTGCTGTGGTGGGCTGTGTCAAGTTACTCCCAGGCATTTTGGTTACACCCAGCTCATTCTTCTCTACCACCTGGGTGAAGTCTTAGCAGACCAATATCTATTTTATCTTGAGTGGTGAGAGAAAAGATACACTACTTCTCCCAAATGGGCCAATCAGTAACACTTATGAAAAGATAAGGCATTGCTGGGCTATGCACTCACAGATTATTTTTGTTTTGTTTAAGAAAAAG